TCCTCAGAGCCTCTTGGTTAGAAATAATGACTTACCATTGAGGTCTAACCTGAAGTTACAGAGAGGAGGCTTTTAACGATGCATAATACCTGCAAATGCACAGTGCCATTAAAATGCCCTTATTTCAGCTGTCATTAGAATACACACTACCCACTGAAGACTCCTCAGCACTCCCAGCTGCAGTATATTATTATTCAGTGCCATATTGCAGTGTGTTAAGCTGTGCTTATGAGGATGCAGAAAGTACAAAATGCATAAACATAAAGTATTCACAGAAGGAATCTTGACACCTGATATGAATGTGGCTGAACACAGTGGTAACATTTCTCACTTTATGTTGCATCTCATTGGGTGATCCAGTGCCTGATTATAATGTGAATTTAGTACACTTTGCTGTCCTCTGCCTGGATGATCTTTATGCAGGAAAACTTACCATTTAACTCCCAACTAGGTTAAAACAAATCCTTAGTAGTCATATATTACACGTCATTTGCGGTCTCTATGCCTCCTCTCCAGCAATAGCCATGGCCGGAGGCATTATGTTTTTGGGTTGTCCATCCATCAGTCCATCCATCAGTCCATCCATCCCATTCTCATGAATGCAACATCCCAAGAAGGACGTGTGGTCAAAGGTCAAGGTCACCATGACCTTGCATCCATCTCATTCTCATGGGTGTCTCTCAAGAACACACTGAAAGAATTTCTTCAAATTTGGCACAAACATCCACCTGGACTTAAGAAAAAAGTGATTTGAATTTGGTGATCAAATTGCAAGGTTTCTGTGACCTTACGTCCATCTCATTCTCTTGAACCCAATATATCGTGTAGGCCTTGAGAGAGAATTTCCTCATATTTGGCACCAAGATCAATTTGGACGCATGAATGACCTGATCAAAAGTCAAGGTCATGTTTTTGGCCATAACACAAATATGTTCTGCAAATACAGTTTCTGGCCATTACTGAACATCATAACTGAGGAACAGAAGAGGAGACATTTGGTCAAATACTGCACTGGTGACACTAATTTTAGGTGTCCACCTTGAAACTGTGTTGATTGTATAGATCTTCTTTGCTGCCAGGGAGAAGATGTCTGTGAAGCATCCACGTTTTCACAGACATGAATGTAAACTTTAAGCGTAACTTAACTGGTTGAGGGAGGCATACAAGTCCAAGGCAGTAATTCATTCATTCATTCATTCATCTTCTAACCGCTTCATCCTCTTGAGGGTCGCGGGGGGGCTGGAGCCTATCCCAGCTGACATCAGGCGAGAGGCAGGGTACACCCTGGACAGGTCGCCAGACTATCGCAGGGCTGACACATAGAGACAAACAACCATTCACGCTCACATTCACACATACGGACAATTTAGAGTTATCAATTAACCTAGTCCCCAATCTGCATGTCTTTGGACTGTGGGAGGAAGCCGGAGTGCCCGGAGAGAACCCACGCTGACACAGGGAGAACATGCAAACTCCGCACAGAAGGACTCCCACACCCGGGATCGAACCGGCAACCCTCTTGCTGTGAGGCGAGAGTGCTAACCACCACACCACCGTGCTGCCCAAGGCAGTAATTCTAGTTGTTAAAGTATATTTTCCTTGAAGTAAAGTTTAGGATTTTTACTGGAATTGGTGACACATCATTTATGATATCTGTCACGAAAATGAGCTCAACAAAGAATATGTGTTCGAATGAGCTGACTCATTCATTGCATAAACACAGATCTCTAGTTAGCACTTTCCGATAGTTCCTTTGGCTTGTCATTACTTAGTATAATAGAACCCCTCCTTCCTCCTGGGTTTGTTACAATGTCTTCTTTTCAATGTCTGATGATTGAAAGGATAGGAAAGCAAAGGAAAAGAAAAAAATGAAAGACAGGACATAAAAGATTCCTTCATTCCAGTTGGAAATAATGAAGTGCTTCCCAGCTGCCATTGTTATCTCATAAATAAAACACTCTGTATTGTTCATAATGACTATTTTGTGTTCTTCTATGTACTAAAACTATCAGTCATGTGGGAAATGGTCTTTCACATTCTCAGGAGACTGCTTACAACCTGTGTGGGTTTTTGCTTTGTGATTTAAACCAGTGTTATGTTATCTACACCATTATTCATCAGTAGCATACCAGAACTCCATCCATAATACATTCTACTGTATACAGAAGTTCATTTGCACATATTTCTAGTCATCTCTATGCAGCGCTGGGTATGAATATTTAGTTCTACAACAAGCTTCAGCAACAAACTCTGGGTGAAATCACAACAGGATTGCGCAGCTTTTGCAGCTGCTAATCCTGCACAATTAAGACTAAAATAAAAGGTGATATTCATCCCTAACTGTGCTGCCAAGCAAGTATTTACACTTATTTAAATTAGGTAATATGCATACATTTGGTGCAAAATTGCAAATGAGCCTCGTCGCAAAAACAGTTTAATTCACTAAGCCAGATGCAGGTACAATGAATGCATTAGCATCTTCAGAGAGTTGGTGGTAACTGAAGTGCACTTATAGGGGGTATCATGACCAGACTTTCCAGTGATCCTGGCAGCAGTAAATGTAGCCAAGCAAAGGCATCATCAAAGGCAACATTAAAGGCCAAACACAGTGGCGCCCCTGTTATTTTCAATGTAGAACCCCACACTGGCAGCGGAAAGACAAGTGTCGGCGCCACCCCACTGCGCCTTATGCCACTCTCCTATTTCCAGCCTTATTGCCCCAGGAAGTAAAAGCATTTTTCCCCCACTCACTCCTTGCTTGTACATACCAGCTCCCATAGCAGCTCTTTTTCTCTGCTCCTATGTTAGCCCGACTCCGACCCTCATCATTGATGCACATCGAGAACTCTGTTGCTGTTGCTGTGTCTTGTGTGTGACAAAGAATGGATGAGGAGAGACTTGTTGTTGAGGTCGAGCTATATCCGAGCTTTATACTTTACCACGTGGGTAATTTCAATTAAACATAAAAAAGGGTGAATTGCACTCAGCAACAAAACCTAATGATCATGTTTGCACTTTTATATTATTAGTGCAATATCTTTTGTGAACTTGATCTTGAGAAAGGGCACATAGCGGCTGTTAGTGATGCACAATTCATGGTGCTATCTGCATCTGCTATCCATTCGTTACTTTGCCCATCTGTGTGCTACTTCAAGGGTTTCTCTGCAGGTATGGCATCGAAGGATGGTGCGCAATAGAATGTTTGACTATTTTTGAACACTGAAATGTGACCTGATTGGGAAGTTATCAGCCCATTGATGGTCATTATCTGTGGTTGTAAGTTTCATAGACAAAGGTCAGCAGGGACCTGCTACACTTACTGATAGGTTCAGAGGGCCATTACCAGCCCATTCAATTCATTTAGGTGTAAGTGCCAACAGCATGTGGTTAGGTTTAGAAAAAGATCATGATTGGGTGCAGATATTTGTGTCACATGGGGCTCGAAGTCCCATTTTCTGGATGAAAGTACCTTGTTTGAAGCATCCACCACCACTACTCCCACTCACCCTGTATGCAGACTTTCTCGCACATGAAAGAAAGTCCCATGAAAGTCCTTTGTTGCAGAAAAGTTCATTGCATGGCCTAACAATGGCCTTCTCAGCCTAATAGCAGGCGTGGTAGGCCCCTACAAACCCACATCTATGATGTTTTTCACCACTCTTAACAGCCATTTAATGACCTAACAAGTGCCATATCTGTCAAACAATGTGAGTTTTAATCTGTTGATCACCTTTAATAATAATAATAATAACTTTATTTGTATAGCACTTTTCAATATAACTAACAAAGTGCGTTACAGCATAAAATATCAGCACACACTCAATATCAACACAAAATACATACAACTTAAACATTATTTCATAAAAGCCTTCCTGTAAAAGTGTGTCCTGAAGAGCGATGTAAAACGAGGAACAGACTCTGAAAACCTGATTTCCTCAGGCAAATCGTTCCAGAGTCTAGGGGCCCTGATTGCAAAGGCCCTGTCGCCTTTTGTTTTCAGCCTAGACCTTGGAACAGCTAGCACGGCCTCATCAGCGGATCTCAGACCTTTAAGGAATTTAAGTATCATGATCTTGAAATGTTTTATAAACACTGGAAACAGAAGAACTGCAAATTGTATGCAATGAATTGGGAGATAAAACTTACAAAAGTAAATGTGCATGAAAAGCCTTTGGTCATACTAACTGTAAGTGGTATGATTAAAAATGTATAGTACATCTTGCAAAAACCCATAACTTACAGGGTAATCGAGGAAGGGACACATAATTTGAGGTAGACAACAACCCGCTTTTACACATTAGAAGAAGTTCTATAAAAAAAAAATTGAATGCTTGGTAACCAGATCAAGTGTCTCACTGAGACAGGCCTTTATTTGTCAGAATGTGTAGCCACACCGAGCCAGTAAAAGGGACTATCATTATAACCTCAATTTTGGATTGGCTTTTGTGCAAATGTTCGATGCGTTTGCCCACAGACCTGTATGGTATAAAACGGATTACAGCATTTCAGTGTTCCAGCTCATCTAATGAATTTTTTATGTTATAGATGTTTTTAATTTCAAATATACCATCAGTGGACATAATGTTCCCTTTATTCTTGCATAAATTCCCAAGAACTTTAATGGTAAAACACATAAAGTGCTCCATGTTTTGTGTTGAACAGTGTTAAAGAACCAAATAATGTGCTCTGACTTTACCTGATGAAGTTCTAAGAAGCATAACATTAATAAGGTGAGTACAGGTGATCAGCAGTGTGCAGGATTTTTTGGATCTGTCATAGTCTGTGTTAATGATACCACACACCTGTCCATAAGACTCTTTAGGGTGTTTCAATTTTTTTACTATGATGCAAAGATTTTTTTTTGTGCTCCTTTTTATTTTAAGCAGTTGACAGAATACAAATAGATAAATATTTAATGGGATATGCTCTGGCTGAGAGAAACATCAGGACCCACTGTGTTTTCATGGCCACGGCCTCTGTGCCTTTGTGCTTTACTGCAGGAAGTGATGTCAGTGGAGGAGGAGTCCACTTCCTGTTACTGCCTGATGGACTCGACAAGCTGCCACCTGCTGCTGGACCAGCCGGGCTCGTACGCCCTGGTGGGCGAGCCCCTGACGCAGGCTGCCATCAAGAGGCTGAAGCTGGCTGTGTTTGGGAGCATGGAAGCCGGCTCCATGAGTTACAGCCTGAGGGTGTACTGTGTGGATGACACGCCACACGCATTTCAGGTGGGAAAGGGACACCTGTGAGGTCTTTGGCTTTTTGTTTTCCTCTTTTGTTTATCCAACAAAGGTCAATGATGATGATTATTTCCAGCAGCACTGTGTTTAACAGTTCTTCACAGTCTCATTTATTCATTAAGAGGATGTGGCCAGTAATAATGGCTTAAGTAGCAACTGTTTCCTTGAGCTCAATCTGAGGTTATAAAATGATAATTCATAGGGCAAAAGCTAATGTAATGCTCGACTGGTGCATTTAAATATTGCCAAGGTGGATTGTGGGCTTGTATAGACAGCATTCTGCAATGCTCCATAGTAGTTCCCTATGTTACAAAAAGAGTTTTACAATTTGTTCTTTTTGCCAATGCTTTAGGTCATCTGTTGACCTTAGAAATATTTTTTTCATTATAGTATATAGTATACATAAAGTCATTATAGAACAAATTTGCAGGCATTGCCATCATGTTTCAAATGTTCTACAAACCTTGCTAAAGAAGAATGTGAGGTGAGTGGTAAAAAGAGCTGCCCTTTGTGATGCTGTGCACACTACCTATGTAAAAAAAAAGAGAGAGAGAGAATAGTCACACTCACACACAGACCATGATGGGACTAAGACATGGTGGGTGAATGGGTCAAGCACAGTATTTACACGCAGGAGACTGGTGTTCAAATCCCTTGTAAGTCAGTTGGGGGCTAATTGTTATGCCTCCGTGATTTTAGTGGTCACAAGTCAAAGGTAAAGGTCACTGTTACCTCAATCCATCTCATTCTTGTGAACATGTTATCACAAGAACACCTTTCAGGAATTTCTTCAAATTTGGCACAAACATCCACTTGGACTCAACAATGACTTAATTGGATTTTTGTGCTCATGGGTCAAAGGTCGAGGTCACTTTAACCTCAAAAAACATATTTATTGCCAAAACTAAAGAATTCACACACTAATTATGACAAAATTTCAAATGTCTAATAAGATTAAATGATGAAATTAGGATATAAAGTGCATTTGGAAATACTCACTCTGAGTGCTGGGGCCAACACAATTTCACTCCAACCTCGCCACATATCAATGTTTGGTTGTGGACTTTCCATGTTGGGATGTGACGTGTAGGGTACCCTGGGTGCATTGGTTCTTGAGTGCTGGAACTCTTTTCAAGTTCAGCCTGTTACATGCATTGTCTGTTTTCAAAATACACTTCTGTTTTCTTAGGAAATGCCCAGTGTGCATAGTCTCTTTCAAAATAAGCGCACTACGTTGGTACACTGCAAATTGACAAACTCACGTGGTTATGTTTTGCCCACACACACACACTCACATAGTTGGGTTTAGGACAAAAGAACAGGGTTTGGCTTTACAATCATATTGATAGTGAACACTGGCCTTCTGGGTGAAAGTGTTGGACTCATCGACCACCACTCCCGCCCATCCTGTTCAGACTTCTGTTACCTTAACTTTCATTGTTGTCCCACCACATTTACGCCTGACACTGCAGGGTGACTACAACACCCACTGGCCGCGTATCATGCCGACGTGAAAGGACTTTTTTATTTTGTCAGTGTCTGAAGCCAGAAGTCACTGCCCTAACACCGGATGTAAATGACTTCAGAGTGAGACCAGGTTGCTGGAGTGCACTCTTGAACAAACTGAATAGTATGTAAATTCGGAGTGGTGTTGGAATTTACCATTTTCTTATTCAGAACTCTTGGAGCAGCAGAGCGCCAAGCAGAGTGAATGTATGACTAACTTAACCATTTGTTATATCATATAAAAATAAAACGCTCTGTTTCTTCAAACAACAGGGCTGTTTTTACTTTAGTGTAGAGTGTCAGAGTGTTGAATTGACAAACACACTCTTTATATCCAAAAGGTTAAAGGCTACTTCACTGTGACATCACGGTGTTCTGCAAAAACACTTTACTGGTCATTATTCAACACCATTACTTCAGGAATAGAAAATAGCCACACTGTCTTATTACACCCTGGGTGTAGGTAGCTTTGTTGCCTATGGATAACTGGGTGCTAATAGCAATTGCCAAATATTAACTGAATTATCACCTATGCCCTCAGGTCCTTGGAGCAATTTAGTTTCTTTGTGCTCATGTTTTCGTTTTCGGACCCACAACTTTACTGTTTTGGTCCATTCTAACAGCCTCAATGGTAGGCAGCTGTTTCAAGCAAAAATGCTCTGATGAAGCCACTGTACACAACCGTCACTGCACCAAACAGCAGACAGGCAACATTAACAGCTAGCTGGTGAACAAATGTAGTGAAGCATTTGGCAGCTAAAGGGCCAGATATTTCCCTCAGGAGCTGTTGCAGCAAAACAAAATGTAAAAGCATGGGGACTATTGGCCTGATGTTTGTCAGGGTGCCAGACACATGACTCAAAATAAATGAAGCTGCTCTGTGTCTGCTGTATGGTATATAGGCAAATGTTTGCTAACACATTTTGCATATTGACTTTATAATGTGATAATATGTCAGTGTAAAATATAGAGTTTCTAGCGCCACCCCCAGTTAGCCAAAGAATGATGCCATGCATTTCACTTAAGTGACAGAAAAGCATATTTCCTTATGTTGTAATAGACCAAGTTTTGAGATCTCCGTCTCTTAAATGGAATGCTGAATGGAATTTGGTTGTGGTGCTCACCACTGGAAAAATGACATTCAAAAAATTCAGCTTTCAGATACAGTGTTCTCATTAGTCTGGCAATCCACAGAGCACACCGTCCAGAGTTTTTATGGGGGCTATTAATAATGAGGTTTGTGGATTATCCAGAGTGAGCAGGACATTATTTCTCAAAAGACACTTTGCTTTTGAATGTCATTTTTCAAAGCTGTGAGCCCCACAAATTAAGTTTCATTCATCTCCTTTGTGTTTGGGTGGATGCAGAGTCTCGGAGGCAAACATCACAAAAATGAGGAAAATAAAACAAAGCTATCTGCATGGCTTGATACCACTAGAGGTAAATGAGAAAATAGGTTTTTGTGGCTCTAAGACTGCTGCACTTGAAGTAATTTGATCTTGTCTGGAAGTACTGTTGGCCAATGAGTGACTTAAATGTCACTTTTATATTGCTTTTTTGTGTGTTTGTTTTTTAAAGAAAGAGAAAGTGAGAGGAGAGCATTTCGTACTCATTTCCCCACAGTCTAAAATTCAATCTGCCAATTTCAGCAGTCTTTCTGCAACTGTGCATCACAGCTTTCACCTCTTTCACAAAAATGTGAGGATGCACATTTTCACTTAAGCAATTTCTGCTCTATTAGGAAGTACATATTGTAGGTCCTGGCCTAGATTCAAGCTGAACATCTTGTGTGGATGTGGTTTTAGCCTGGGCTGTCTGAAGCAGCAGGGACTTCAGCATGTGCTCTCTACCGGTTAAACCATGTGAGTGATTGCAGATTCATTACCACTGTGAAACAATACTGCAGAGCTGATAGTGGGGACTCTCTAACAGCCTGACGGATTCTCTTCCAGAGGTTTTAATAGACTGAGACAAAGGCTGCCGTACTGTAATCACTGCCATTCAAATGTTAACCAATCATTCTTTTTTTTTTATCTTGTTTGACTTGATTATCCTTCAGCGACCTATAGGGTTTTTAAGCATTGAGATCTCATCAGTGAACATCAGGGAAATCAAGCTCCCCGTGCTCCCCGGAGAGACTAGACTAACAGAGGAACTGAGCCGAGCTCAACAGTGCACCGTGAGCCTCGTGACTGACTCTGCCTCCCAACCGCCTTTCTGTCATGTCGCAGCCGTCAGCGGCAGCTGGCTTTAAAATGCATTCTGGATTTGGTTTATGAATTTCCAGCCTGCCGAGCAGATGCCAGACTTTTGCACGTCCCTTGGGCCCCTGTCTGTTAGCACCACATCTCTGCTGTGTGTAGTCCAAGCTCAGGCACAATCACAGCCTGGATTCTGGATCAACAGGAAGCCTGATGCAACACAAACACTCGTGTGAGGGAGACATTTTCTTCGGCTGAAACCGAGAAAGGGTTATTATTGGCGGTTTTATATTTTCTGTCATATTGCACAATGCTGCTGTCTCTTTTAAAAGAGTATCTCTATAACAAGTCAATTTTACTTATATCCAAAGTGATGCACGTTTTAAAGATATCATCATCTTGTTTTAAAATAAGCAGATAAACATTCAGTTCAAGTAAAGAGCTTAATATTTTTTGTGTCAGCTATAACAAAGACACTGCTGCAATCTGCTGTTGCTCAGGAGTGGGAGGAAATATTTCCCCTCTAACAGCAGTCCATTTCCAAGGACACAGCATTCAAGTCCTATTTGAGACACAATGGATACAAGCTTCCTACCTGAAAATACCACCCATAGCCTATTAGTATTCTGCTGGCAGATGTTACCTTCTACTGGTAATGCTACTAGAAAGAATGTTCACCTCAACCTTTAGCCTTGGCAAAGGATCATTTCTACAATGTCTTGAATTTTGACACATATATATATGTAATGGTAAACTGTATGGTTTTCTGTTTTCTGTGTGACTGTTAAACCTGTTGGATTTCTCATTTTTGACACTGCAACAGTGAGTTAGCTGTGAAACATCACGTGCCAAACAGCAAATCAGGAACTGTCACAGTCTACAGAAAACTTTAAAGCTTCAAATAAGTTAAAAGGGTACTTTCATTTTCAACCAGCTGTGTGTCATAATAAAGTGGGTAGTATGTAAAGACGAATCACTCCATCTTTCCAGCGCCCAGATCTGCCTGTTTCTTGAACTACAAATTGTACTCCCTTATCTTTGTATGCCTGCTGCCACCACTGACACAAAGAGTATACTAAGGGATCGTGAGAGAGCCACCCATCCTCTTACTCAGATCAAATTCCAATCAAACTTTAAAACTAAGCAAAGCTGATCAATTATAAACCAAGATTCTGTCACTGCATTGCCTAGTTCTTGCCTAAAATGTTTCCAGAATCATAATTTACTGCTTAATTTTACTGTTATTGAAAATTGTTTCTTACCAGCTGGCCACCACATTGCTTTTAGAGGGGCCCATTACATCACCCCTCAATGGAAGCATTTATCAGTTGTGTTGCACAGAGCATTTTGCTAGTTTTAGGTTTTCTACATCTTGAACAAAAGCAAATGCCACAGCCCTTTTTCTCTGTTTTCTCTGGTCATGTAACACCAGTTTTAAAAGTATCTTTCTGCTGCATAGAAGCCCACTTTTATGAAAAGACCATCTTTTCAGCAGTGAAATACTTGTTTAAAATGTGTCAACAAAACGCATACAGCTACATGCGCGACCATGTAGGGAAACCACTTTGTCTGGTAGGTCACCTGCTAACAGTTCTGAAAAATAGCTACATGCTGTGTTGAAAAAATTAGAATAAAACTACCAGAAAATACTCTTCACTCTGCCAGGACACAACCAGAGAGTTGTAGAGTAATAGGAGCTTCTGTCTGAAGCTTCCCATGTCAGTTTTCCTTTAATTATATTTTTAATGTTATTCAGCAAAGGTTTAGATGTATGTTTTGGCCATCATTTGGTATCTTTCCAAATTCATATCTGAGTGTGTTTTACATCACTTCGGCATGGCAGATGGCTCTGAATACTATGATGCCCTTGTGGCTAAGCACACAGTCATTGCTGGTAAACTGTCAAATGTACAGACTAAATGGGTTGTAGGTGGAAGTAAACAAGCAGCCATTACTGCAGTGGCATCGCACATGTAAATCTGCCTACTAACAATCTTATTTATGAAAAGGAACTTACCTTTTAACAGCTTTTTAACAGCTTTTGCTATAAACAACTTGTAATAGGTGTCACAGTGCCGTTAAAGACAGCTAGAAATCCTTTCCCCACTAATCACCAAAACCTCATTTACTGGGCTGTGCTGTAATCACCTGCTCTAACCATACACTTACCTTAGACTTTTTATTCAACTAAATACTTTCTTTTAGTTGCTCATCTTTTGTACTGATGATTCAACTGGGAGAGTTTCATGCCCATCCAAGCCTTTGAAGTGTCTCAACCAGTGCTTCTAATTATTTCAATGGAAAGTAGCCAGTGCCTGCACAAACACTGGCTAGATTATATCACATGCTAATTTCCACATTTGCAATGTCATAATGTAGCTGTTTATATGATTATAGACTGTTTATATGATTATAGACTATACAAAATTCTGAAAAAGTTTAAGAAGTCAAGCTAAACATAACTATGGCTTTATCTAACTATTTTTCAAGCTGCTATGAATAATATAATATTATCAGTGTTACTCTCAAGTCAAGTCAACGCATTTTACACAAAGGTTAACACAATGTACTTTACAGTAAAACATAGAAAACATTAAACAATGAGACAGAGAACATATAAAATACTCCACATAAGTGGACAACACTTAGTGGTAGAGTAGGAGCCCCATGTACAAGGCTGTTGCCGCAGCGGCCCAGGTTCGACTCCGGCCTGTGGCCCTTTGCTGCAATTAAAGGCAAAAAATGCCTATAAAAATATCTTTACAAAAAAACAAAAAAAAACATTCAGCAAAACAAACAGTGCACACACTCGCACACAGAACACAGTTAGCACTCACAAATGGACTACAACAGGGGCACAAAGGCATACCTATACATACACACATATACACACATACACACTAACAACCATAAGCCTGAGAGAAAAGTAGTGTTTTGAGACTGCATTTAAAGGATGATATAGTTGGAGCAGATCTCAGGTTATCAGGCAGTTTGTTCCAGAGAACAGCACCATGGTGACTAAATGCACCTTCGTCTGATTTGGTTTTAATCCTGGGTACATTCAGGAGACGTGCTTGGTGATCTGAGGGATGTGGTTGGACTGTTCAAGGATCAAGGATCGAGATGTGACACTGGAATAAACTCACTCTTTTAAAGTCTGCTAATTTTGTGAAAACATGAAACCTTAAGAGGACATATTGCACATTTTCAGGTTCATACTTGTATTTAAGGTTTCTACTAGAACATGTTTACATGTTTAAATGGTCAAAAAACACTGTATTTTCCTCATACTGTCTGTCTGCACTTTCTACTGGGAAATAAATGAAATAAAAACTTCGTCACACAATCAGAAATGATCAATATCAGCAACCAAGATCACATGTTTCCCTGACCTTAGTATGTAGCTACATGTCCCCTCCATTGTGATTGGCTAAAGTGCAGCATCGTTCAAACTCAAAGAGAAGTCCGACTTGACTGATTAGCTGAGCTATGAGTTTAGCTCAACTACTGCGTGCATGTAATAGTACTGATTAACATTCAAGTGCATTCAATTATCTGTCTTTCTGGATGTCGATTAGCGGACTAAAGTTGCTGCTGCTCTGCTCTACTCAGTGAAAACAGTCAGTCCAGAGAGCCAGAGCCACATGACAGCATATTCACTGAGAAATATCAGCAGCTCTCCTCAAGAGTGAGGAAGTGGTCTCTACCCAAAAATTCACTCAATTTGTCGCTCACTAAGGGAGCTTAAAAGCTCCAAATCTAGCAAGAAAGTCACCAAGATGGCAGTCAATTAAAATTATCTATGCAGAAAATAAACAGAACTTTTACTTTTGGAACTCTGGACCACCAAAATAACTTCACTAACTTTGCAATTCGTCTGTCTGGATTTCTCATTCTTGGCTGACATTGCAACACTCCCAAAGCTGTAAAACATGATCTAAGACACATCGATTGTGTGTGATGTGTCAAACAGCAGATCAGCAGCAATCACAGTCTACACAGAACTTCAATCATGGAGACTTGACAGCTTCAAACGAGTTCAAACGAGGGAACATTATCACAGATCCAAGCTAGCTACATGCTTTACAGGGAAACCAAAGAAATCCAGTGTTGTCCAGCAGCTCAGCGTCTTGAGATTTTGAAAGACAGAGGCAGATGGCGCAGAGAAACATCATTTTTCAGGCTCCCTGCTGCCACATTTGTTTTCATATGAATGTCTTTCATCTGCATTTTGCCAACAATTGATTTTTTTCACACCTTCACTATACAACACTAACAATATGCAAAATACCTCAGGCACGCTTTTTTCTGCATACACATGCGTAAAAAGTGCATACACACGCATGCATAACCAAGCTGCTGCACGCACGGACACTCAGTCAGAATCAGTCAGCGTGGCCTGGCATTAGTCACAGCTCTGCTCCCTGTCTTTTCCCTTTGTGATTGAGATGGCTAAGGATAGACGGGCCAGACACTGAACCATCCCACCGGGACGCTGAACAATGATGACAGATGAATACCTGCAAGCGACAATCAAAGTGCTCTTTCATCATCACAAATTCAATTTGGGAGATGGACGTTTGCCCCCCGACGCACACGTTTCCCCAGCATTAAATTCAAGCCTCAATCTGTCACGTTGAGGCAGCAAATGTGATGCTAATGTGAGCATGAGTCGTATGATTTGTTCAGCGGAGACTTGACGTCACTTCTTGGTGGCCTGTTTCTGTGTTAATATTTGTGATGAGTCAATTAGTGGATGTGACAGAGGAGGGGATTTGCAACAGGTGCTTGTGCTGATATGCAAAGGTACCGTATCTTCAAAGGAAAGGATTGTTGTATTCTTAATTCTCTCTCACATTCATCTCATTTCCCTTTTTCCCCTCTTATTTTTGGTTTTCTTCTATATTCCACTTTTTTCTGTCTGACCTTTTCCCTTCCTTTCTCTCCATTCTCCTTCCTTTGTTTTTTCTTTTTTCTTTTCTCTGCCCCTCCAGGGAGTGGTGGCTGCAGAGAAGACCAGAGGGGGTCAGCTCCTCGAGGAGCCAAAGATGTTGCCTTTCCGAGCGAACACCTTCAGCCTCCAGGTGTCCATCCAAGATGTTCCCCAGTTCCTGTGGAGCATCAAACCCTTTACCACATGTCAGGTAAGCATGGCAGCAACATACAGTACAGGCCAAAAGTTTGGACACACCTTCTCATTCAATGCGTTTTCTTTATTTTCATGACTATTTACATTGTAGATTCTCACTGAAGGCATCAAAACTATGAATGAACACATGTGGAGTTATGTACTTAACAAAAAAAGGTGAAATAACTGAAAACATGTTTTATATTCTAGTTTCTTCAAAATAGCCACCCTTTGCTCTGATTACTGCTTTGCACACTCTTGGCATTCTCTCCATGAGCTTCAAGAGGTAGTCACCTGAAATGGTTTTCCAACAGTCTTGAAGGAGTTCCCAGAGGTGTTTAGCACTTGTTGGCCCCTTTGCCTTCACTCTGCGGTCCAGCTCACCCCAAACCATCTCGATTGGGTTCAGGTCCGGTGACTGTGGAGGCCAGGTCATCTGCCGCAGCACTCCATCACTCTCCTTCTTGGTCAAATAGCCCTTACACAGCCTGGAGGTGTGTTTGGGGTCATTGTCCTGTTGAAAAATAAATGATCGTCCAACTAAACGCAAACCGGATGGGATGGCATGTCGCTGCAGGATGCTGTGGTAGCCATGCTGGTTCAGTGTGCCTTCAATTTTGAATAAATCCCCAACAGTGTCACCAGCAAAACACCCCCACACCATCACACCTCCTCCTCCATGCTTCACAGTGGGAACCAGGCATGTGGAATCCATCCGTTCACCTTTTCTGCGTCTCACAAAGACACGGCGGTTGGAACCAAAGATCTCAAATTTGGACTCATCAGACCAAAGCACAGATTTCCACTGGTCTAATGTCCATTCCTTGTGTTTCTTGGCCCAAACAAATCTCTTCTGCTTGTTGCCTCTCCTTAGCAGTGGTTTCCTAGCAGCTATTTGACCATGAAGGCCTGATTGGCGCAGTCTCCTCTTAACAGTTGTTCTAGAGATGGGTCTGCTGCTAGAACTCTGTGTGGCATTCATCTGGTCTCTGATCTGAGCTGCTGTTAACTTGCGATTTCTGAGGCTGGTGACTCGGATGAACTTATCCTCAGAAGCAGAGGTGACTCTTGGTCTTCCTTTCCTGGGTCGGTCCTCATGTGTGCCAGTTTCGTTGTAGCGCTTGATGGTTTTTGCGACTCCACTTGGGGACACATTTAAAGTTTTTGCAATTTTCCGGACTGACTGACCTTCATTTCTTAAAGTAATGATGGCCACTCGTTTTTCTTTAGTTAGCTGATTGGTTCTTGCCATAATATGAATTTTAACAGTTGTCCAATAGGGCTGTCGGCTGTGTATTAACCTGACTTCTGCACAACACAACTGATGGTCCCAACCCCATTGATAAAGCAAGAAATTCCACTAATTAACCCTGATAAGGCACACCTGTGAAGTGGAAACCATTTCAGGTGACTACCTCTTGAAGCTCATGGAGAGAATGCCAAGAGTGTGCAAAGCAGTAATCAGAGCAAAGGGTGGCTATTTTGAAGAAACTAGAATATAAAACATGTTTTCAGTTATTTCACCTTTTTTTGTTAAGTACATAACTCCACATGTGTTCATTCATAGTTTTGATGCCTTCAGTGAGAACCTACAATGTAAATAGTCATGAAAATAAAGAAAACGCATTGAATGAGGTGTGTCCAAACTTTTGGCCTGTACTGTACAAGATATGAAATGAAAACACCCTGTATCTCTGATACTAAAGTGCTAATTTGCAAGATCCTGTTTGTGCTGCTAAGAGGTAATGAGTGTGGTGTGTCTGCCCTGCTCCTCCCAGGGGTCACTTATCAATCAAACTGTGTGAGGGGTGGTCTGCTGTGTGTGTGTGTGTGTGTGTGTGCGTGCATGCGTGCGTGCGTGCGTGCATGTTTAGGCTTGTTATTTAGAGACTCTCCAGATTGTGGGGTGTATTTTATTGTATTGGTAATCCGGTACCATTCTCTAATAAGGCACTCATGAGGAACAAAATGATACTCATTTTCAATTTCACACACAAACTCCACCAGGGGCAGAGCAGGGGGGAGGCTTCCGGGGCTCAAGCCCCAGATGTTTTATCTCAAAGATCCCAAATCTATGCTGTTCGTCAAGTAAACAAAAAAAAAAAAAAAAAATCAGGTCAGATGCCAAAAACTACAACATAGTCCAGTCAGACCCTCTCTTACAAACCAGGAAATACTGTTGATATTTATATACTCAGTGACATTTTTTTAATATTAAAATGATGATTATGCCATTTCTGTATATCTACTTGTAAATTATATTGTTTATTAATGTTTGAAAGTGCCAAAAGTCTCTCTCCAAGCTGTCTTTGATCACACATGAGAGAAATAGCCATTACAACTTTCTGCCAGAAAGTCAGGTGATGTCATATGAAGAGCGACGCAGTTCACATAGACAGATGGTGGTGGTGGATGAATGGGTAAAGCACCGGACGTTCACCTATGAGACTGAGGTTTGAGACTTGTGGGCCAATGTTAGTGTCCTTTTTGGTTGTGTTTATGTCATAATTCGATGCTGCTACGACACTGCCAGATAAAGTTGGCTAAAATGTCACTGTGGAATTATTTTTGAACCATAATGGGACATCATGATTGGATGTTCTTACAACATTTCTTCAACACCTCACTGTTTGCTGGAGATCTAATAAAATTGAGTAAATGGTCTAATATTCAATAGTATTGAAGACCGCATGTACTTGGCATAGGTGCAGATCCTTGATTTGCAGAGCAGCCCAAATTATTATGGCATGGATTCAAATGTGGAAGATTTGTCAGCAAAACATTCATTTTGTGAATTTAGCTCCAGCATTGTAAAACAGACAAACAGACATAAATATTATTAGATACTAATGCTGTTTACACCAAATTCACACACTACCCACGTTATGTAACAGAAAATAGTAACATCAGACAATTATTGCCTCTTTTTAGGTGGCAGGAGTGAAAATTAGTCATCCTCAACATTTGTTGTGTTTGTGGTTTAAGGATGATGAAGACAGTTGGAGAATAATTAGATACACAATAGGATGTAAGCTCTAAAGAATGATTTTTTTCCCCCTTGGCAACTATCACATTTTTCCCAAATGATGTACAGATTTTTAGGCATTCTGTTATCTCAAATGGCTTGAAAAATAGAGCATATAGCTGCAGGAAATTAAAAACTAAATTCTCTGGGAGAGCTGGTCAAAGGTCACTGTGACCTTGCGTCCATCTCATTTCATGAACACAGTATCTCAGGAAGGCATTGAGGAAGTTTCCATAAATTTGGTACAAACATCAGCTTGGACTTAAGAATGAACTTATTATAATTTAGCGGTCAAAAGTCAAGGTCACTGTGAACTCACAAAACATTTTTTTGGCCATAATTCAGGAATTCATATACTAATTATGACAAAATGTCTCATAGGATAAAATGGTGATGTGATGACATTTTATACCCAAAAGGTCAAAGGTCATCTTCACTGTGGCATCACAACATTCTGCAAAAACACTTTTCTAGTCATTATTCTTCATCATAACTCAGGAGCAGAGCGGGAGACATTTGGTCAAATACTGAATTGGTGACACTAATCTTGGGTGTCCACTCAATGTGTGTAAAGCATTCATGTTTTCGAACATGGATGTAAACTCTAACCACAACTTGACCTGTTCTTGGAGGCGAACAACCAAAAGGCAGTAATCCTTCATAGAGTATTAGATGGTAATGTTTGGTAGCCATTGTTGTCACGTGCTCCAACAAAGAGGACGAGTCAAGTCAAATCTGGCTTGATGAAAATAACTTTTTCTTCAGTTCACAACATTCATACGGCTTTGACTCGCTTTATGTTTGTGTTTGTGTGCACCATTTTGTGCTTTAAAGCTGCTCTTTTAGCATGCATCCTTCTGTCACCCACATTTCTCTCTGTAGGATCATAAAGATGGACGTGATGTGAGATTAATAGCTTTGTGTTTGTTTTGCTTGCAGGAGCATTAAGATGCAAACAGTATTAGATGGAACGCTCCGCAGCAGTCAGTGAATGCTGCTTTGTACCTGTTGTTGCCATTTGCAGAGCAGCTGAGCTGTGTCCCCACTGTATGCTGTTGTTGCTTAAACATCTGAATGCGGGGTGAAAGCTGTTTCAAAGACACCCACCCTCTCCACAGCCTTATTTATGAGGGCCTCAGGATGGAAGGCAGACACCACGAATCTGCTTTGGTGGAGCAGGTGTAGAATAATAGCTGAGCACCGTGCCATACATCAAGTCAGCTTTTAGTGCTAAAGAGCATCCGAGCTTTCCACGTCCATCACCCCTCCCCCTCTCCCTCAGCCACCAGCTCCCCGACTCCATTATCTGCTGCTGTGAGCTACACTGGGCAGCCAAGATCAAAGCCACAAGGGTTAAGTCATCAGTAGGCACGCCGGCCGCCGCTTTTAATGCCGCGGTCTTCACTAAAAATCGTCTACAGGTCACTTTTAATATGCAGATATGGCAGAGACGGAGTGTAGCAGAGGTCAAGGACATTTCCCCACAGATGTGCCCGTTCTCTGGAAATTAATTATACATCAAAGGCAGTCTTTTCCCTGTTCCCTGTATTCCCACGTATATCGCTTACAGTACTTAGCAAGCATGCTGCCGCTGCTATCAGAGTTACCGTACCGGGAATCAGGCTGTATTTGTAAATGGATTTTTTCTCTCTCTCCTTAACAATAGTTATTTCCATGCATAAATATATCAAGCCGTGGAATCATTGAGACTTCAAAGCCAACTCCTACCTTTTATCTTGCAATGTGTAAGTGGCTGTGCATGTGCCAGTGTGGTCACATGTAGAGCAGCGAGCTGAATCATCTCATTTAGAGCATATGTTACCGTGTTATGTTTCTGAAGTCCCTCTTTTTTCTCTGTGCTTCCTCAGGAGTTCTCCTTCCCCCAAGTGTGGTGCAGCAACCAGCAGCCCCTGCACTGTGCCTTCTCTCTGGAGAGATACAGCCCTGCCACCGCCCAGCTCTCCTGCAAAATCAGCGTGCGCCAGGTCAAAGGCCACGAGCAGATTCTGCAGGTCTACACGGCTGTGGCCGAGGTGAGGATCTGGGGCTGAGGGAGAGGAGGGGGGAGGGGGGAGACGTTTCACTTTCTCCCTCAACCTTTATGTAACCTTCCTGGAGTGTGTCCACTGACAGCAGGGGCCAGCTCTCCTGAGCTTGCATTGTGTATTAATAGAGCCAGGAGGACACTCTTACTTTCTGTCTTTCTTCACAGATTTATGCTAAACACAGACAACAGAGATCCAGCTGTTCACCACGTTTGCCACACATATTTTTTTTAACCTTTATCCATCCAGGGAGACATGTGTTCCAGCAAATAGCTTGCATCACATTCACATGCATTAACACCTGGGAGCTGCCCGATGTAACAACAGTCTTCTGTCAGCCACTGAGCAGCTCCACTGGAGCAGCTAGGAGCTAGAAATCCTCACTCAAGAGCACCTTGACAGTAGTTGTTAAGCCAGAAGAGAGCGTTACTCATTGATTTTACCCAACTGCTTTTTCACAACCAGTCACAAACATGCTTGTCCTACCTCAAGGCCACCAACACTATTTAAACTCACGGTATTGCCGTCAGATGCAGGTGAAATATTATTTGCAATCTTTTTTTTATGGTTTGTTTTAATCCTACCGTCATGATTAGTTAGGGTTTGACAGATAGGAGGAAGAAATAAAAGTGTTTATAGGTGCTGTGAGCAGAATTCAAATCATCATCAAATCACACACACATAGAGTAAACAGACATGACAGTTTCAGAGGAGGAGGGTCTATGCATTTTACATTGTGGGTCACCATGTTGGATCAATATCATTTTCATACAGAGCACCAACACAGCAGTTTTAGAGGAGCTTTACAGCAACATTAAGTGCCACAGTGCCATTAAATTTCAGTCCAAATTTAGCACAAATGTTAACCTAATTTCCAGAAAATTTGCACAAGAAAATGTGAATGAATCAGGGTTACTATTATGTAAACATTAGGAGTTGGTTCGTGGAGGTAATTTGATGGAGGCACTAATTTTCCAGTGGGGTGCATTTAAATCAGTGCAGAACAGGAGGACACAAAGAGACAGGGCAGACTGGTAAAGCAGCCCTGGAATTTGCTGTCAAGCTGTCCCAGTTTGATACTGGAGGTTTGAAGTGACGCTACGTGTTTGTCGATCAGCAAATCATTAGACTATAAAAACCCACAAACTTTTAATTTGTAGCTATTTTTTTGTGCTAATATGTAAATTGATGAAACATCCAAGGTTTTCCTCCTTATGTTTATGTGTACAGACAGCAAAAATTCAAAGTTGAATTAAAGCTACAAGCAGCGATGAACCTCTGTGCAACTTGGGGGTCCTGGCAGGATGCTGGGCGACGAAGATTTTCTTTTCTGTAAAAGTCGGACTCTGCACGCAGCAGTGAGATGGTACATCGTTCACAGAGTGAGGGTACTGGAATGACATTTCTCATCTGGTACCACTTTCTGTGTCCACTAGGTGGCACTAGAGAACTTTTTTATGTCATGGTGTTGTAAATTAACTGTAAACTACACCATGTAAATTTCAGGTACGTCAAAACATTTTCTGACAAGTCTTACTTGCTGCCAGTAGTTGGTACAGTCACTATGACGTAATTTTCATGGAGATGACTTCAGGCATGGAGCCTTACAAAACAAGTGAAATCTGGTGCAGATAGGACCATGTATGCTGGAGTTACAAACCACTTCCTAGGGCTGTCATGTTTCCCACAGTTTGAACTTGAATTGAATGAAGCTAACTTGACAGTGCTGTGTTGAGCGTTTCCATTGCACTGACTTTACATCTCACAGTCAAATTTTCAGTTTCAGCTCTGGGCCTTGGCCTTTCAATAAATGCAACCAATGAGCTGGTAACTGTCACATAACTTGAAAGTGACCCGTGGTTTTATGCATCTAAAGTCTGATAGCTCCTAGCTTGATAAGCACAATGCATTCAGAGCTATGGTTAACTCATGGATGTAGAAAAATAAATAGCTACTGGACCCAAAGATGGTGCCAGTTCAGTCCAGTGGAACTGCATACCACATAAACACCAAAAAAAAGTTTAAGATTTTTTCCGCAGAATGCAGCCCACTGAATATGTGCAGTAGTGTTTCTCCCACTGGACCCATCTGCAAGGTCACACTCATAGACTTTACGCTGTGATAACATCACAGATTTTTAAATTGCTTTTCTCAGTTCAAACAAAGTTTTACAAATATAAAACCTCCTTAAACCAAAAATTCATAGTAAAAATATCATATCTGACTGTGTTTTTCAGGTGTCCTGTCAACAGGTTTATGGACATCTCTATTATAATGGTGGTCTATGGGGAAAATGCTTTTTGGGGCGCAGGGGATGTTTTCGTTGCAATACCATGAGTGGCCACTGGGAAAACTTTGCAAGGCTGAGCTGGTTTCTTAGGGCCTGGGTTAGCTAAGACAATGCTAATTCTAATGCTAATTTTCTCTCCAAAAAAACAGGCTTAACATACCATCCAGTCTTTTGATACAAACAAACGCTGAGTAAAACTTTTTTAGGTGACCAAAATGTTCCCATTAACTTTCAGTAACAAAAAGAAAACAAACTAAAATGGGCAACAGCTACAGCTTCCCTGCACTCTGTGAAATCTGGGGTTACGACATGGTTCCGTTACCTAACCGATGTTGTCGCTGAGGTAGCGTTTTGCCGATACGTTGTGCTGTGCTTCCTACCCTGTGCTTTATTTTGGTGGCAGACAATGACTGAAGAAATCCTCAACTGACAAATTAAAGCACACATTTCTGTTTAGGTTTGATCTCCAGCCCGATCTGGTGGACTTGCACTTCACTTTTGTCTAACATTAAAAGAACTATCAAGAGACAACATACATGCTTGAGGTATTTAGAAGTGTGAGTGCGCTGAAACCGCTGGTGTTGCAGTTGGATGTGCCTCAGGCTGGATAAGATGGGATATCTGCTGTAGTGTGATATGGGACATGACAGGAAGAGGGCGCTGTGCTACTATCCAGAGTCAAAGGATTGCTATGGGGCCAGAACAAAAAGTCACATGAAGCACTGTGGAAAAAGTAAAAGGGTAAAACACCACCTGAAGGCTTGACAGATGGCCTTAATCTTTGTAGATTACTTCCCTGTGGCGGTAAAACACAGGATGTAGTTAGCTCAGATTCTTATTGATTACAGTACACAAGAGCTCAATAGTGAATCCACTCCATTGCTATTTGCTTATATTTACAGTATGTTCCACATACTGTGATGGGTGTGTTTGAAACTGTCTCTTTTAGCTATCTGTAGTGGGGTGTTTTACATTTGGGCAAGTAACCGTGTGATATGTCTGGGAGCCAATCAGTAAAACATAAAAGACAATTTAGACAAAGAGCTGGCTAGCCAATGAGTGAGCCTGGTTATGATATGCTGATTTATGATAGGGCTCTCGACAGAAATGATTTGTCTTCGACCGCAAAAAAACTGTCGTTGAACATCTTCCCTTCATGTCGTGCACCTGAGGAATGTTATGTCACAGACACTGTCATATTTTGTCACGCAACATGATTTGGTAGTCATGGTGTACCTCTCTGACAAACTAGAGTTTTGTGCATCTTGGTGTGAGCAGCATAGAGCCAGATCTGGTTGACCGGATCATCAAATTGATTGGCAGACACCCGAAAATACCAAAAGTGCACTGCCTCGTCCACGACCCCCAATTGTTGGACCAAAACATATTCACCCTATGGCTCCCTCGTTTGGTTTAATAGACGGACTAACCACCACTTTTTTTGTGTTCCTGGTGGTTTTTTTTCAGTAGAAGTAAATTTGAAACCTTTCCTCTTCAGTGAACTCAATGATTTCATCAAATCCCTCCATTATCGACATGCAAAAGGATACAAAGCAGCACAAATATAGCTACAGAATAAACAGTTGTCAGAAGGATATTTGTAAAACAGTTAGATCCAACATCACTCCATTTAACAGGTATTCTGAGCCATTAAGGGTTAATTAGCCGGCATCTAGGGTTGCTGTAATAAACTTTGTACCACAAAATGTAACATATATTACCACAAATCACATTTGAGTTGAATAATGCATAGTCAGAAAAAGACAAAGGGACAAAAAGAAGCCTGAACACTTTACTGTAAATCTCCAGCTATGCTCACATGACATCAGAGTACGATGCAACATACCAGTTAAGCTGTTAACTCATCAACTGTCAACACAGTTATTTTACTGGTTGCAGAATAAATGGAGACACGCAGATGTTGCCTACATCAGTGATTTCAAACTTTTGTGCCCAAGGCAAACCAAAGGGCAAGCCAAAATCTCGACATAAGACAATAAAGATAAGAAAAAATGAGACAGGTAGCTTTCGTGATACTGTCTACTGAAAGGTTGTTTTTTTTTTTTTCTTACAGTGGTAGGTTGTCTTCACTGGTGCTTTGCTGTAATTTGCTCCGTACAGTAAAGTGATCCATTGTCCCACTCACAGCTTTCTCCTTTAAATGTTACCATCCCTCACACGGGCTGCCAATCAAGGCTACTGATGTGTCATACTTATAATGCCCACACACGAACGGCGACAAATCGGTTCCCTGTGAAGGTTTTTTTTTTTAATTAAATTAAATTAAATAACATTTTTTAGCTTAAGGTTGCCTCTTTATTGGAAAATGGGTGCACACAGCATAGTGATATAGTCAATTAAAAATTCATTCATAACTTTTTGGCCCAGTTGAATATTGCAATAATAATGTGTGGTCATCACAAAATCCCATGGCACACTTAGACTGGCATCACAGCGTACCATTTGAGTACCACTGGCCTATATGATATAAAATATCTGGTCTGTGGTAAAGTGTAGACCTACACAAAATAGCATGCTAGTGTACAGGAGTGTTTTGTGTGTTGCTTGGCAACAGTCCAGACCCAGTCCAGTTGCTGAACTATTTGAGTTGGCAGAGTCAGATAAATCAATAAATAAACGAACGAATCATAACCTGTTGCTGCTTTTTACTGTTGATAAATGGCGCTTGTAGAACTGTTGTATTAAAGCAATAAAACCAAATCACAGTTGTGCTGATATACAGTATAACTCCCTCTCATGTGATGTTGCCTAAATATATATCGATCCAGATGATACAGTGTATCTAAACAAGCTGGCTGGAGGGTAACATCTGGTCACCATGGAGATGACTGAAACCTTTTGCCCAGTGGTGTAGTGATGGTTGATAAGGTGGATGTACTACAGGTAGAAAGGTAGGGTACCAAGGAGGAAGTGGGTGTACTCTCCTATATATTCAGATGGCTTTTTGGCTGATAGATGGATATGCTGTAAATGGCCAGAGAAAGAGGTACTGTAGGTATACCTCATGTACCTGCGTGTATCCTCCACTCCACCACTGCTCTTAAAGAAGCATAACTGATACTCATCAGAAGTGTTGAGTGATTTACCATTGATCAGGCTTTAGAGTGGTTTTGACCAGTGAGGGAGGAGGATACAGGAGTTCTAGTGAATGCAAACCAACCAATCATTGTTGAAATCCATTGTAACTGATCTGCAGTCAAACTGAGCTCAGCTACTGTTAAGCCAAAGGAGTAAACTCCAAACATTTAAAGCCACATTTTCAGTCTGCAGGGTTGAGTGTTTGATATTCAAAAAATAGATTTTGGGTGGTGCATCGCTTTAATCTTGAGAAATGCCAGCACTAACTGCACCACTTGAGGCTACCAGATGTCTCCACCTTTGTCTTATTTGTTTACAGTCTGTGCACTGATGTTTTCAAATGTTAAACACACCTATCTGAATAGTCCTGACCCAGTACACCCTATCCATCTGGCTCTCCAAGCTGGTAAAAAACAAACACAAAGCAACATTTGCAAATAATATCTGACCCCGGTCTAATTCTGCTCTGTGTCTGTTTTGTTCCTCCAGACTGAAAAGGAGTCGGTTCCATTTTTTATGCAGACAGACTGCACCATCACGTCCCAGACGGGACCCAAGGCCTTCAAAATCCCCTTGTCCATCCGCCAGAGGATCTGTGCCACCTTCGACACTGCCAACGCCAAGGGCAAGGACTGGCAACTCTTAGCCCAGAAGCTCCACTTAGATCGGTGAGCGTATGATGTGCATCCTCTCTAAGACTGCATGATGTGTGCATCCACTCCTCTGTAATGGCCTCGCCTTGAACACACGCTGATGAGAATGATAACATGCTGTGAGTGTTGTTAACCACATGAATGGGGCTTTATATGCAGCTCCCTTTTGTTCTTCATGTTCTCTCTCAGCAGAAGGAGACAGGCCTGGTAATGTGATGTGTTGTGTGTTGAATGCTGTATGTGCATTGTGGTTTTGTGCTGGCCTTATTCCACCAATAGTGAAATATCAAATGCATCTGTCAATATTGATCAGCCAGTCCACATATGTGTGTTTTACTTATTTGTTGTTTTTATTAAATGAAAAGATGCATTTATGATGAGACACCATACTAATATTTACTCAATCCAGTTGTTGTCTTTGCTTGGTCTGATCTTGTGGCAGCTATAATCTCCTGTTAAGTGCATGATTCATGAAATGCTGGTATCTAAGAGTCCTTTGGGATTCCAAATTATCCAGATAAGCTTTCCCCTCCAAGTTGGGGCGGCTTTGAACTGAGACTGATGTGACCAATGGCTGCAGCCTTTTATGTTGCTTGTTGTTTTCTGCCTGTAAAGCACCCAGGAGCTGCAGTGAAACACTGCCCCCAACTGGATTCAACGCTGCATGATACATAAAGACATTGCACTGGCATGGCAACAAGCTCTTCTTTTCTTTAATTTTGGCAGCACCTGAGAATTAAATCCAAAGCAGACTGTGTTTGCCAGTAATTGCTCATCATTTGTGATGGTAATTTATTCTCTGTATTTCTGAAAGTCTTAAAAGGTCACACCTTTTGTTTTACCTACATGTAGAACCAGATGGTTTTGTTTACTGCACCAAGACAATTTGTGTTCAATTAATTTTCAGACAGACAGATATAATTAGTAGATTGTATAATAGTCAAGTGAAGCGGACCCGAGGAGCCATATGGGTTTTCTTAGCATTAATTTAGGACTAATGTTTAGAGTGAGGAAAATGTTGATAACTATTCTTTATGCAGTGCATTTTCTTATTAGGTATACATTTTAATATATATAACCATAATGACATGTTTTCCAAATTGTACAGGAATATGCAACCATTGAATAAGAGTCTTTGACCCCATACTTGACACTTTTAGCACTTCCCAGAACCCTAAAAACAAATTCTGGGATCTCAAAAACCAGTTATTTCACATATATATATACCATGACATCCATGTACAGCAGTTGCAATGTTCAACAATTCCATCCTATCCAAAATAGCATAACAAAAATAATTATACCATTTACAGGATGTAATTGTAATTTGTGGTATTTAAAATTCAAACCACTCAATCACCCATCTGGCCTAATACACTCAAAGACATTCAAGATATAGTTTTAACAGTAGAAACAATATGGCAACATCTCTGACCATAGACACATTTCTATAGTATCAAGTTATACATTGTCACATTGCCCATCCCTACCAGCCACGTAGCAGCAGCTATACCTGTTAGCATGTATACATTGTCAGCACAGGCCGAACCTGAGAGCTACTGTAGGAGCAATTCAAATAATGCAATAACAACATACACTCACCTTTAGTCAGCAGATATTTCAGAAACCCTGAAAATAAATCTGGGTGGATGTAAAGTAGCAGTTACATCTGTGATATCAACAATGATAAATTAAGTTTGTATTGTTACAAAAATGTACCTAGTTTTTAAGTTGATCTGTATTTGTTGAAAACACAGACATTTTTTACTCAACAAGTTCCATCTTATCTTCTTAGGTACACCCACACAACTTCTCATTAACATCTTCAGAAATATGGCTTAAAATCACTGCAAAATACTGTTACATCTTTATAATAAATTACGTTGGCTGTGCTTTCAGATTTATATTTTGTACACACAAAAAAATAAGTAGTTCATAAAGACAAGTCTTCCTTAATCTACATAATGATCTGGCGCAAAGTTTTTTTTCTAGTAGCATATATTTTAATTAATGAAACTGGACTTTCCATATTTGGATATGACGTGCAAGGTACCCTGGGTGTGTTTTTTTTTTTTTTTTTGCATTGCGTTTTGCCTGTTACATGTGTTGTCTTTTTATAAAATACATTTCCATTTTCACAGGAAATGTACAGTTTGCATACAGTCTCTTTCAAAATAAACCACTACATTGGTACAACACTGCAAATGGACATTCTTTTCTTCAACAATCAAAGTACGTGGTTACGTTTTGCCAACACAGACATGGTTGGGTTTAGGCAACAAAAGCATGTGGTTGGGTTTAGGAAAAAAGAAAAGAGTTTGGCTTTACAGTCACACAGGAAGCAAACACCAGCCTCCTGGGTAAAAGTTGTTGGTTGTTGGACCCATACACGTTTCCCCCTGACACCACTTGGTGCCGCTATGTATCATGCCAATATGAGAGGACAGCTTTTTTTGTTGGCGTCTGACGCCGGAAGTCACTGCCCAAGTGGCGGGTTTCAACAACTTCGGCGTGAGACCAGGTTGGTTGCACTGGATGACATGTTCCTTTCTTACATGTCAACACACTCTGTAGTTTTTCTTTGACTCAAGCCTACACACACCACCCTGCCCACTACGCATTAAAGCATCAAATGTGTATTAATCCACAGTTGAAAATAGATCCCACCAAATGCGTTAATTCTTACCGTTTATGTTTGCTAAAAACTACAGTGCCCAGCTGCTTCAGGGAATTGCTTTCTTTAGTCTATAAATGGGATTTGATGTCAAAAAGAAAAACATAGAATAACATGAGCCTTATCCTTTAAGGTCTGCAGTTTACTTACCTTGTTTTCTGTGCATCAGAGTCACACTATATCTATCATCAGTTTGGCTCATGCCTTTTACAAGATAAATGCATACATAATCAGCAAGGATACACTACATATCTGAAGCCAACATTAAACATTTCCCTGTGTTCTGTCCCTGAAGTGACCTCTTCCCGTGCTGTTCATTAATCCAGCTTTGTGTGCTCCTCTCCAGAAACCTGGGTTATTTTGCAAAGCAGCGGAGCCCGTCAGCGGTCATACTGAGCCTGTGGGAGGCTCGCCACCAGGACACTGCTGACCTTGACTCTCTAGCCAGTGCCCTCGAGGAGATTGGCAAGATTCACTCCAAAAGCTCCCCCAAGGACCAGGATGAGCCGGAGTCTGACTTCAATCACATACAAGCGGGCAGTGTATACGGAACGGGCAAACTAACAAATCAGACAACAGAGGACTCTGCTCCTGAATATACAGGCTGAGGGGAAAGAGAGTGAGTGAAAGCTGACAGACTTGGGCATATATCTGTGTACGCACATGGCCAGTGATAGACAACACACCACGGCAGTGCACTGGAAGGTCACAAGGTTGTGAGTGCACAGTGCGAGCAGTCAACATGCCGACCAATTACAATAGAGGGAGGTGAGCCGGTACCTGCTGTGGATCTACCCCTCTCTTTTAAGAATCTGTCTGAAGATGGACTGTACATTTTTTCTGCCTTTCCACTCCATTTTAAGTTAATTTTTAATTTATTTGTTGTTTCACATTAAAGCTGCCCCTCTGTATATTCATTTTTCAGGTCAGAGGGTGAGCGGGTTAAATCCTGAACTTTGATGCATATTATTTTCTGAATTTGTGTTAAATTAGATCCTTTTTATCTCGCTAGGGACTGTCACTACCACCTCCCCTCCTTTTCCCAGTGGTCCACCCAGCAGCTGGACATATTTGCATACAAGTTCTTATTTGCAAATAAGATGATACAACTGTGGCGTCATTTCAGAGACACATGATCAGATTTCTTATTTTTCCCCACACCACATCCCTGTGTCAACGAGTGAATGAGGACTTCAAAGCTACGTTTTTTGGCGTCCAATATTATATTTTTAAAAGGAAGCTGCTGATTGCTTAAATGTTGTGGTTGTGAACTTTTAAAGCCAAGTATCTTGACATTCGCCCATTTTCATCTCTCAAAAAAATCTAGTCTATGGGAAGATAAAAAATTCTCATAGACAACCAGTGTTGTATGATCATTTATTTAAAAAACAAACAGTTAAGAGAAATACAGTATCAGCCCCAGTTTAATCATAAAGGACAGCACGATCAGAGTGTGACCTCCCATGTGTTAACCCATAAGGGAAAAACGATGATTGTGGCATAATGTGGCAGAGTGAGATTTCTAACCGTGGCATTGCAGTTCATTACAGTTTCCTCCACCAAGCGATAGAGAGGAAGGAAACTGTAAAACATCATTTCCTGGCACGGCAGGGAGTGCATCGCCACGTCTTATCACCCAATTCCCCCCTCTAACACCCGTCACACAGACCTCATATCAGGCCCTGACACACCCGACTGCCCCCGCCACCCCCTCACCCCAAACACATGCAGACACACACACTGACATTTCATGGCTACAGAGGTCATGGGCACGTCGAGGCTGTGTGAATTTGCATATTGTACAACAAAACAAAAAAGGAATACTGATGGTCACGGTGTCAGAGATACAACATGCTGTCACTTTTCTGTTCAAACAGCTTGATCTCATAGAAATGCATCAAATAGTCACGACCTCTTAACAACACATAATGTGGTGGTGGGCATGAAATTTAGTGAATATTTAGTGCTGGCAACACAAAAACAACGGCAATGCAAAGTCAGTCAGAATCTTTTGTTGTGAAGGACACTTGAATTAGTATAAGTACAGAATAAGAATAAGTATAAAGAGCGAGAAAATTCATGTAAGGTGGCCAAGGGGCTATGGATAGGTCAAACATGCATGGACTTTTAACCAGGAGACTTCTGTTTGTGTCACATGTCAACATATTTTGTTGTTTAAAAAACGCTACTCAACTAAATACAATCATTTCTTATTTTCTTTGATATTTTTGTCATAGACGGATGATACAAAGATGACTGCTAGGTAATTCATATGTTGATGCTGTCCGATGTAAAGTCTTTATTTGATCATGTGATGAGATGCTAGGATATATGGAAATCTGGCACTGGTGCCTGTCATGACTAGCTTACACCACTGAAGGGATCCTTTCCATAATGTCGTCAGACTATTCCAGTAACAATCTGAGCCATGTTGTTCCCATTAGTCACTTAGGCACAACAACATTAAAAATATGGTCCAGGTAGAAAAATACTAAAGTTACTCTTTAACCAAGTTTTTCTTCTTTTTATTATTATTTTTCTCTAAATCTAACCAAGTCTTTTTCTTTCCCTGAACCTAACAAAACTGTGACCATTTGTAAAAGACTTTGCATTGGCATGGTTTTTGTGTTGCCAGCATGTAATTTTAATAAATTTTGTGCCCACTACAATGTAGTGCATTGTTAAGAAATGCATTACATGTCCATTTCGGGTATTTCTGTGAGACTGTGTTGATTCAAATCACACTAAACACACATCATACTGACAGAATGATAAAAACAAAAAAGCTTGCTGACCATTACATTGCCAAAAATAAATGAATAACAGCAACATATCATTCCAGAGACAGTGTCCTGGTTACTCTGGAAAATCCACAGAACATACTGTTAACAGTTTTCTATGGGGAAAACAGCCCCACAAATGAAATTCTGTTTACCTCCATTCTACTGGGGTTTTTTAGGTAGAAATCTCAGAGGCAGATATCTTAAAACTTGGACAAATAAGATTTTAAGAAATATATTAGTACTCTGATTTTTAAATATGCTAGGCTAGGCTAAACTAGACTAGGCTAATGTATACTCAAATAGAGGAGAGCTAGTCAGTGTGTGGAGCTGTAGAGGCAGGTTATAATTGTTCACTTCTAAAAAGAGCTGACTTACAGCAGCAGGGAAAAGACTGACTTTTCTGAATTCTATACACTTAATCACACATCCGCCCCTTTGTGTGGAGTGTTCGGAAGGGTTAGCTACAGGGAGCTTCGTCCCATCTGTAACCCCAGCACTTCTCTGTGATTCTGTGACACAACACTACACAGACTTCAGGGGGGAAGTTATTTTTCATGAATTTACATGTCTGTCCTCCCAAAATAATAAAATGTTTGCCTGGGGTAAAACCACCATATAACACAGACTCCATTTGGCCACTGCCTCTTCTTTCTGTAAGCTAGCAGAGTAGCCTAAACGTGCATCTAGCGAGGAAGAGCAGCATAGCAGAAGGACACAGTAGATGGTTATGGATTTAAACATTCGTTTGCCCCAGGAAAAACATTTTGTCATTTTAGGCAGACTTCAAATACATTTGGTAATACAAGTGACTGCTGGATAACAGGTATAAAATAGCAGTTTTGCATAGAAAACACTACATTAGCTTGTGACCAAGTCATTTCAGTGAGGGTATACTTAAGCATTTGGTGTAAAACACCCTAAATGTTGGCTATTTTTAAGTGTTGTTAATCACTGTTAAAATGAACAAAAATATGCTAATTGTGACCTGTAGACTATGACATGATGCCATTTTATTGACCTACTGTTTCACTACAACATAGGCCCTATTTTGGCCCTGAAAGGGCCCTGTGGCCCTAGTTTCCCACATTTTCTGCCTATATGACTAATGGGAACAACAGTTTTTTTTAAAAGTAGTCCAGTACTGAGCAAGAGAGCTGCAGCGACAAAACAAGCTACAATCTACAGTGGCATGCAAAGGTTTTGGCACCTCTGGTCAACATTTCTTTTACCGTGAATAGTTAAGTGAGTATATAACTGATCTCCAAAAGGCATGAAGTTAAAGATGAAACATGCTTTTCAACACACGCAAGATTACTATATTCAATTTTGTTGAGTACAATTTTAGAGAGAAAAAAGGAAAGGAGCACCATGCAAAAGTTTGGGCACCCCAAGACATTTGACTGACAACATTTAATAGGGTGTCAGACCATAATTAGCTTAGTCGGGCTATGGCTTGTTCACAGCCATTGTTAGGAAATTTCAAAGCTTTATAAATACTCTGACTCCTGAAACCTTGTCCCAACAATCAGCAGCCATGGGCTCCTCTAAACAGCTGCCTAGCACCCTGAAAACTAAAATAACTGATGCCCACAAAGCAGGAGAAGACTATAAGAAGATAGCAAAGTAGACACACCTGGTAGACACACCTCAAAATCCACAATGGACTACCTCAAGAGGAGCAAGCTGAAGGTTTGCCATAGCCCTCACAGTCCCTTGACCTAAACATCATTGAAAATCTGTGGATGGACCTCAAAAGAGTAGTGCATGCAAGACGGACCAAGAATCTCACAGAGCTAGAAGCATTATATCAGGAAGGATGGGCGAAAATCCCCAAAACAAGTATTGAAAGGCTCTTGGCTGGTTGAAGTCTGGTTACAAAAAACATTAAGAAGCTGTGATACTTGCCAAAGGGGACACTACTAAATACTGACCATGCAGGGTGCCCAAACTTTTGCTTCAGGCCCTTTTCCTTTTTTGTTGTTTTAAAACTGTAAAATATTTAAATTTAAAAAAAAAACTTGCCTTAAATATTGAAGAAATGTGTCATCTTTAACTTGTTGCTTTTTGGAAATCGGTTCACCCTCTATTTACTGTAAAGACAGTTTTGACCTGGGGTGCCGAAACTTTTGCATGCAACTGGAACCATACAAGGCATGTTCACACCATCCGTTTAAGTCCACTTAAAGTACGTGTTTTTGCCACTGACATGTTAAGATTATTATTCTATGTGTCTGACTACTTACGGAAAGCATCCTTACAGAGACAGACCTTTTTGTTAAAGAGTAAGATCCTTTTTTTCAAACCAGAAACAGCACCGAAATCACCAACACCAAACCCACCAGACTCCATTTAGATAAAGAGTAGATTCAGTGTGTAAAGAGTGAGCATATTTTCACATGTAACTCGGTGAATTAAGGGTTTAATTCAACCAAGCCAGAGATGGCGATTGTTGGAACTGTGGAAAAATAAACCAAAATGGATTTTGTAAGTTTTATGTTGTTGTTAGATTTTGAATGAAGTGTGTTTTATGATGATAAAATTAGTGTTTATTTAAATGGAGTCTAGTGGGACTGGTGATAGCAATGTCAGTCTGTTTCTGGTTAAACAAAAAGGATCTTATCTATACAATACCTGTCTCCATAGGTATACTTTGCATGAGTTGTCAGAAACTTACATTAACAATCTGAACATGTCAGTTGCAAAAAAAAGCACATTTAGTAGACATAAATTGACGGTGCAAACATGCCCTGAGTGGTACATTGCAGCCTGTTTCGCCACTATGTCAGCATCAGTCTCACAAAAATTGTTGTTCCCACGAGTCACTTAGACACAAATGCATGAGAAAATAGGTTCCAGGTTGAAAATACCAAACTTACCCTGAAAGTAAAGATGAAAAAACACCCCCTGTTTTTCCAATACAGCAATGACTCTTGCTTTTCCTCAAGGTGAAGGCTTTTATTTAAATATCAGTGAACCCTGTTGATCGAGTCTTGTGTACTTTCTCGCCTGTACTTAAATTCAGGAAATGAGCTTACTAATCACAGTACCTAGAACCATGAACAACTATACAGTATGAGTAATGTGGTACAAATAAAAGTGAAGCCGTGGAGCTGCACTCTTCCTCAGACTTTGTCGGTAGCAACCAGTTGAGTCAGTCTTTGCTTTTATCCAGTCCTTAGTCTATAGTGCCCACAAATCCTACACTGTCTCCAATCTTAGTGCTGATACTCTAATCTGTACAAAGAGTCAAAAGCAGTGGATTTTTGGCACAGTGTTGAATACTATAACAAAATCAGAGGCCATTTCTTCATCTTCAGATTGGTACCTCCAACCATGACTGACTTACATAATTGCCAGAATTAACCTGCATAAAGCTGGGTACAATTCTTGCTGTCAGCCAAACAAACTCAACCCACAATTCCTTGTCTATGACTGCATTTCCCTAACATTTCTATTTGAATTTAAATTCTGCTGGTTATTTTTAAGATAATAGAGCTGTGTCTATTTTGAATATGTCCCTCAGCAGTTTATCAGGAATGATATGGTGACTTTGAATACATCACTGAGTATTTCTGACCTGAAATATGTGAATGGCATCATCTTGCCATGATAAAGAAGCATTTTGATTTCTCTGCATCATCTCTATGCATTTCTAATCAAATTCCATTCATATTTTTATGTAATTTAAGCTGGTAAGTGAAGAATGTGGAAGGTAATCTTTTTTTTTTTTTTTTAGGTTACTCAATATGATTGTTTCCTTAATTGTGACTAACTGGATTCTCCTTTTCATTCCTGCAAGCAAAGAGTGTCAAAAATGGAAATGTGTGCTTTTGTAACGCTTAGCAGAGGCTTATGTTGCATCAAGAGCATCCTGTCTGTGCCGTACACCCCATCACACATAACAATCGCCTTCAATCCGGATGTATTTCAGCTGTGTCCACTGTATCCCATTAATGTGTTGAAATTTTGTTTTGTTTTTTAAATGAGCTCACACACACACACACACACACACACACACACACACACACACACACCTACACAAAAACGTATTCTCACTATGTATAATGCTTTGCTGTAAGACTAACCCTGTATCATGAAATTAAAAGTTCACTGTTGCGTCCATGACCTTTCTGTCACCTGAGTTGGTCAGTCCCATGCTCTTTTTTGCTTTACGCATGGCCTTCGGCTTCATATCACTATTCTTGTGCCTTGTTTAACTACTGTAAATGGTGAATGTTGTAAAGTACAGATGCGGATGAAAAAAAAAAACAATTAATCATACTGACATACATTTAAAGGTATTAGTTGAAAAAGTATTTAAAATTATAATATTGACTAGGCTGCAGAGCTTTTCTAGTGCTGAACATCTATGTTTGGTAATGCCAGGGCAGCTTTGTGGTATATTGTATCTATAATTATGGACATTTTGGATGTTTTCTGTACAGTAGAATTTGCAAATGTATATGCAGCCTTTTGGAAATAAATGTACAGTTGAAAGATCTCAGCTTGTCTTAACACTAGTTATTTTGCATCATGTAGTGAAAATATCCATAAATTAATCATCAGCAGTTCAGTCAGACATTCAGGTGTGCTGTGCTCATGGCGGCTAATGTAGCCTTGTGCCATTTGCCTCATATATAGATGTTTAAGGGGGGAACAAAGGGGGCATGTCCCCTGCACTTTATGAAAGGTCTGAAAACTAATATTAAATTTTAAAACAAAAAAAAGACAACTTAAAAGAAACTAAAAACATTACATAAAACAACTATTAAGAAATTACAAAAGCTGAAAAAAAAGTTTAAAAGAGGTATCAGCATCTATTACAGTGGAGTTTTGAGTGTCAAGTTTAAACATTGTAAGAGGAGGTACATTTTGGCAGACAGGGGCGTAATTTACCAGAGGACAGAGGGGGATGTCCCCTGCACCTTTTCAAAGGTAGGTATTGGACCACTTCTACAGTCCAAAAAGTAACGTTATATATATATATATTAAAAAACAGGGTTGTAGGATTTACTTATCCATAGACTGTGTATGACCTAAAATACGTCTGTCAGCATGCCCCCAGTTTCGAGAAGCAAGCAGGAGGACTGGCAAGGAAGCTAAGATACAGTATGCACCGCTGTGGACGGGGTCAGCAACAAACCATATTTTAGCCACAAAAAAAATACCCTCAGTTTAGTGTACACTATATTTAGAATATTTTCACCTTACTGTCAGACAGATTTCTCATTGGGGAAGTGAAGCTGTATACTTCTTTCTTCAAACCCAGACTCTATTGAGAAAAAGTCGGCGCCAGCATTTTCGTGCAGTTTACAAGCTGCTACACCTCTGTGAACAACGTCTTCTTCCGGTTTCCAGCTGATCTTCTGATTCAATGGTTTTTGGGCCACAGCAGTGTTGTTCTATTTCTCAAAATGTGTAACAGCTTCCCCCCCATCTCATAACAGTGAAAATACGGAGTCCACAGCAGTTGCCTAGAGTCCTTGTTACCACTCCGAATGCTTTTCCAAACTGGGGGCATGCCGACAGACATGTACTATGTGTAATATGTATGTGATATACTGACTATGGATCTATACTATAAAACTCACCTTCCAATAATCCAAACTGTCCCTTAAAGTAAAATAACTTGCATTTAAAAAGGTGTCTGTTTGAAAATTCTCTAGGCTCTGGTTTTATAATAAGTATGTGTTTTGATATTCATATTGCTTGAGGTGTAGGGCAGGTATCAGGGCACAGTTGTTGCAAATTTGAACTAAATCCAAGCAATAGGTGGAAAATCACGTGATATTAAGTTACCCCAACCATCTCAAGAGTGGTTTTGTTTTGTTTTTCGCTGACAGGATGACTCAATATATCAATCAGTTTCATCACTTTTTGCTGTTATGACCATCCATGTCATGAAGGGGACATATTAAAATTATGGAAAAGACATGGTCGTGTTTTATTCTACGCCCCCTTCTCTGTGCCTGTACTGTGTGTCCATCCCACCCACCTTTCAAACAACCTGATCTCACAGAAATACGTAAAATGACCAAGACCTCTTAACACCGCATTCCGTGGTGGCAGCACTTAATGGGTTGAAATTATGTGCCGATACCACAGAAACAATGCCAATGTAAAGTCAATTAGGATCCTTTTTCGCGGCGGACACACGGATTCCCTGATACAACAACGTCCTGTATACACACAAAAAAACAAAGTGTTCTTGATATTAAAACGACAAATATATTCCTCTGTTATAATTTCCCACCAATAATAATAATAATGATAATAATAACATGATCATTTGACGAGATATTTGATATATTCAGTAGATTTACTTTTTTACAACACTATTTGACAACTCTACAACCGGAGCCCCAAAAATGGCGTTTCTAGAGAACTTGCTAAAATATCTGAAATTAGCCATCATCCTTACTTTTTCTTAACATATTTCATCTAGGTGCAGTGTCATTACTAGTTCAGCTTTACTAGATATTCAGTAGATCTATCTTTTTACAACCCTATTTTACAACTC